GATTTTCCTCAGAAAGGAGACTTTGCTCTGATGTGCTTTATGGAACGCTTCCAAGGCTGAAAGGTTGACCTCTGATGCCTAGATGTTCTTTGGCTGTGGTTTCTTTTGAAGCTAAGTTAATGTAACAGTTTAAGGATTCTGCCCCTTTTCCCCTCCCCCAACAGTGCACCCTTACAGCCTTGCTTGTTCTTGTCTGGTTCTCATCTAACCTCAGAATAAACCAAGATGGCTTGGGGTGCTAGGCTGACGGGTGGAATAGCAATTTCATTGCACTGCCTTTTGAGATGAGCGGGACAAGACTTTTCTACCTCACTTTACTGTGTTTGAAAATGACTGCAAGGTCAGGATGTGCTGGTTATGTCCTATCCTAAAATCTGACTTCTGACCCTTATCACATGGCTCTCTGCCTTCCACACCTTTTCATGTGGACTGGAAGGTACAGCAAAGAGAGGGCTTTTCGAGCAGCTACCTTGTCAGATTAGATTTTCTTCCAACTAAGCTCTTACAGAGGACATACAAGTGACTTGTCAAGTTGAAGGCACTCTTCATGAAACTAGCTGTCCAACAAAGATGTTTCTTCATATCTTGAGTCCAAGTGTGCCTTGTGCAAGTTGGGGCTGGGGGCAGGGTACGGGAATTGCTGAAATTGAATCACACTGAAATTGAAGCAGAAGCTTCCTAAATTAATTTCAGTTTGTGGGAGAACACTTTCTTAAAGTCTTAAGTGGCCAGCATGTGCATGCCACATTATGAATCATAACCATCTAATACCAGTATTATTTCTCAGCCTCCTCTAAACTGCTCCTGTCTTCTTAAAATCAGAAAAAATGCAAAGAAACTTTTGGTTTCTCTTGGCTGAAGGTTGTGATACCTATAATTTAGTCTTCCAGGGAGACCAGGTATCCTAGTGACAAGAATCAAGTAATGTTTGTGGCATTGATTGCAAATGCTAGCAATATTGTGTAACAGAGGAATATATTTTCTTTGTCTGTTCAGTCAGCCGCTGCTCTTCAAACCAGCCACACAGAAGATGAAGAAATGAAAGATGAGCAGAATGGAGTTGAAGATAAATCGGAAGTTGACGCAGAAGCATAAAACCAGACCCTATTCCATTAGTTTTGTAAATGAAAGAATTTCCAGTGAATTAGACCTTTATTTTTCTACCTGGTTGGACAGTGGCTTCAGGGGAGCAGAGGCTGAAGCCACCATGCCACAGTCAGTTACAGCTTTATATGTCTGTTGAAGAAGCTGAGTGGCAGCATAAATCTGGTTTAATCCTGGGGAATTTATTTATTCATTCAGCCACTGTTACTGTTTGGGTTCTGTCTAGATTTACTCTGCTTGGTTTATTTGCATTCTTGCCATTGGTGTTTGTCTCTTTCTGGTTCCAGCTCACTTTAATCCCAGAGTCTGCTTCCTAAATCTATTTCCTTGATTTATTTCAAATAATCAGCCTTTTCCAGGGAGTCTTCACATGAGACTTTGAGAACAAATTGGCGCTCCTGGTTCTTCTGCCTTGGCACTGCACCCTTCCCCCCTGTTCAGTAGGGAGTCCCTTCCGTTAAGTGTTGTAACCTTTCTTGTATGCCTCCTCTTTGCAAATTGCTGAAGGTGAAGACTGTGAAGTCACAGCTTAAGTAATAAAGCTCCAATTAAACTCAAGAAAACAAAACTTTTCGTGGGTTTTTCATTGGAATTTGCACAGAATGAAGAGGATTTACTGTCCTCTGGTTATTCAGTGTTTTCTCATCCACACAGCTGTACAGTAGCCACAGTATCTGATTATTTTTCTATGTCGTTTGACCATTGCCATAGAAAATACAACACAATAATCAACACAGTATGTACCCATATATTTGCAGAACAAAAAAATATGTTGCTGGAAATTGTACAAAAAGCAAGTCTGTAACCTATGCATAGAGCTTATTTTCTGTTCATATTGCTACCTTCCTCTTCACCCTCCACACTGTAAAACTCAACCAGAAAAAAAACCAAAACATTTATTTATACCTGAAAGTGACTGGCTTTGAAGATATGTAAGTGATGATGGTTTAACCTGTAAAAATACTTGTAATTCCTAATGAACTACAGACTTCTGAGTGATTCTAATGCCTGCTTATCCCCATCTCACAAGAAAGCTATTACTTGGTGTTCTGCTTCTTTCTGCAGTATGTTGTGTGTCTTGTTTGGGGGTGGGTGTGCTTTTGGGTTTTGTGGGGGCTTTTTGTTGGGGTGGGATTTTTTGTTTGTCTGCAGGTATGCAACACAGTACTCAAACTCACCTTCTCTGTTTATCCTGTTACATAGTGCTAAACTCAGCTGTCCTGTTCCGAGACCCTCTAGCAGCAGGGATGCTTTTTTTGCCTGCTCTGCAGGAGGAAGGTAGATAATCTGTTCCTTTCAGATACAGAAATGGATTTTTTGCAGCGAGAAAGATAGGTTGTCTTTCCATGCCACGGAGTGGCTTGGAATTGTGTGCATTGCAGAGAGCATCCCTGTTTTAACACTGATGTCATTTGAAATCTTAGTTTCAATTCCTGGTCTCCTTTGCCGAGACAGAAGTTCTGTATAAGCACTTACTCATGGGGTTCTTCACGGGGGGGAGGTTGCCAGTACCTGCCCCTGCAGGAGCACCAGCTTGGGCCTGGCAGCATGTAACAGAACTGTCCCCAAAGTGGTAAGGCCTGCTTGGCGTGCTCGCCAGCCCCCGGGCCCAGGAGAAGCCCGCCAGCTGCTGCTGCGGGGTTGGAGCTTGCATGGGGAGCCGTGAACTGCATTGCTCTATGCATGGTGTAGCAACACCCTAAGCTTCAGTGGGGCGGATAGGAGATAGGCAGGATAAAGTGCTTGGTAGGTCATCGCGTTAAGGAAATGCTGATTCAATTTCCTTAGCAAAATGCAGGTGCTGTTTGTGAGACTCCCTTAGTGGAGTCAGCCCTGTGTATGCGAAAACTTCCACCTTGCACCAAAGCATGGCTGCCTCTAAGGGGAATGCTACAGACGGCTTAAAACAAGATGTGAAGAATGTCAACTGAAGTTACAAAAGGGGATTTCCAGATGCAGGAGAACAGTAAGGGGAGCAGG